TGTGTGGAGAAATTTCTAAGTCAATGATTAGCAAAGACAGTATCTGATCTCCAGAAACAGCCTTCCATAATCGTCGAGATGGAGAAATTGCCGTGATGCAATGACTCTCACTTCGTGCAAATTGGATGTTAATATGGCTTCCAGTCCTGCTGCCTTGTAGGTGCTGCTCTTATCCAGAAGGAGATGGTTGTTCCGGAGACTTCTGCTGAACTGTTTCTGGATAATGGAATGAACAGTCTTCTCAACCCTTGTCTTTTGGAGCTTGTCCTCTGCAGAAAAATAGATAATGCTTGAACTGGACATAGTGACAAATCTTCACCATCCTCTGATCCCAGGATGGATGAGAGCGAAGGGATGTGAAATTGTCTGTCTGGTTGATTGGTAGCTGATTCTTGGTGATGAAATCCCATCTCAGACCGAGATGGACTGATGCATGTTCACCACTGTTGAATCTTGTATATGAGAAACTGATTGCATGTATATCTAACATTATGGCTGCCATGGCTAGTGCGAGCAGAAATAATGTCTTTTGGGTAAGATGTTCAAAATCAGCTTTTTGTAGAGGTTCTTAGCCATCACTGGTGAGGTGGTTCAGTACCACATTCAGATCCCAGGCTGGGGCTCTGAATTTCTTCTGTTGATCATCTAAGCCTGTATGATCTCAGTAAGGCAATCAATTCTGTGAGTTTGATTCTGTTTCCCACTGTTATAACGGAGCTGCTAGCTGCTAGGTAGGTGCCTAAAGTTAAACCCTTGAGGTTCCTAGTACACCTAAGGTGACATGGGAAATCTGCATCTTGTGGGGAAGTGGCTTTAGCTGCTGTGAACCCCTTGTATCTCGCAAACTGGTCAAAATTCTTTCATTTATTGTCACTTTGACTTCTTGTAGACCTTGGAAGCGCTAAGGACACTGCCTTGGCTGCTCTGGCTGAATATCTTCTTCTAGTGAGGTTGAATGTGATATGTTACATACCTGAAGTTCGTAGAGTTCCTGTTTTTGATGAACTTGCTTGATGTGAGGATGTAGTAGAAGATCTGGCCAGTTTCGGAGGATTAGGGTGGGTTTCCCTTCCAATGCAATGAGCTCTGGAAACCAGGTTCTTGCCGGCCAATAAGTCACAACCAAAAGCAGTAATAGGTGTGGATCATCATCTGTGATATCAGGGGCATCAGTGCTGGTGGCGGGAACGTGAATCTGTGTAGCCCCTCTGATGATTTCGCCAGTGTGTCGATTGCCCAGGCTTTCTGGGTCCGGTTCTGGTGGACAAATGCTGTTATCTGCCCGTTGAATCTGGTTAGGAAGAGATCCCCTGATGGGGACCATCCTTCTCTTGTCACTAGCTGGAATGCTTCTGAATGTAACATCCATGCTGTTGCTGATGGCTTGGATGGTCTGGGTAAGATGTCTGCTGGTATGTTTTACACTCCTGGGATGTGTCTTGCCTTTAACCTTAAGTTGGGCTTGTCTGTCAGATTGTACAGTTGAAAGGCTAACCTCAGAAGGGCTGCAGATCTTGTTGTTCCTTGGACAGTCATGTAGAACGCAACAGTTGGGTTGTCTGTTCTTATCATCAAGAACTTGTTCTTCAGCTGTGGGTCCCAATGAGCTAAAGCATGGATGACTGCCTCTAACTCTAGATGATTGATGTGGAGAAGTTTTTCTTCATCTGGCCATATCCTTGGCCAGATCTGAAGTGAAGTGAGCCCCCCATCCTTGTAAGGATGCATCCAGAAACAAATGCTGTATGTATTCCGGCTTGTTCAAAAAGGTTCATCTGCAGACATTCGACTTGATCGTCCAGTCATTGTGGTAGTTGAAGTCTGAAAGATCTAGAAATGGTCTTAGAAAAGGCTGAATGGAAAGTAGTTGCAGTTTGCCTTTTACTGTCAATGCTTGAGAGGAGGTGAGTAGTCCTAGTAGTACTTGTCACTGGTTGACAGGTTGCCCACTGGTCTTCTGGTACTTGAATCAGATGCTGCATCGTAAGAAATCTGATGCCAAGGAACTTGAGGTCTAAGGAAGATTGAAAGTGTGACTTCTGGTAGTTGATTAACTAGCCAAGTTGGGTTAATAACTTCAAGGTGAAGTCCAGCTGTTGTCTGAGTAGCTCTACACCTTGATAAGCCTGGATTCCATCTTCCAGATAGAAGGTGCAGCAGATCCCCTTGTTATGCATGAACGCCACAATTAGCTTGGGCATTTGTGTAGACAACCATGGGGCCATAGAAATTCCAAAGGCCATTGGAAGTGTTGCCCCTGATACAGGAAGCACAGGTATCTCATGGAGGCTGGATGTATGGGAATGTGAAGGTAAGTGTCTTGAAGATCGATGCTTGCTAAATGATCTTGCTGATGTATCAACTACTTAGCTGCGATAACTGGAGCATTCTGAATTTTTCTAATTTCTGCAGATCTTCATTGTTGAATTCCTTATTGTGGTTGGTTTGGTTTGGTTGGTTTGGTTTGGTTGGTTTGTTGTATAACGCTGCACTCAGCAATATTCCAGCTATATGACGGCGGACTGTAAATAATCGAGTCTGGACAAGACAATCCATTGATGGAGATTATGAACATAGATACATGCAATTGGGATACGATGACATGCATCAACCAAGTCAGCGAGCCTGACCACCAGATCCCGTTAGTCGCCTTTTTCGACAAGCATAGTGGCCTTTCACAGCAAGCATGGGTTGCTGAAGATCTATCCTTCCCCGGATCTTGTGACAAGTGTGAGAAGATGTTCCTCTGGAAGAATTGGTGGGTAATCCCTCTTGAATGATGAATGGGTTGTCCAGGATGTCCAAATTCCTCCAGTATCTCTCTACCGTCGACCTACTGTTGACATCTGTACACAGATGGCTGGAGGTGGAAGTTCTGTTGTTTGTCAGCTTTTCTTCATCGGTAGGCACAGGATCCTTTAAATTCTTGGCAGCAGCTGGACTACGAAAGGCAGAAGACATCCCTCCGTGGGTAGATCACTTGTCCTTGGCCTTCTAAAAACCCAAAATCTCCTTTTAAACTGTGCCCTCTGCATGGACTGCTTTGTACATCTGGACAGATTTCATCAACATCTGTTCTTTTGAGTCCTGCACCACAACCTTGTGGGTACTTTTGATGTGTCCATCAAATATGGTTGAGGCTTCCCATGGCTGTCTAAGTTGTGCAATGTAAGTTGCTGTGCAGTGTTGAGGGATGTAGGACGAACAGATGGGGTGAGGATCTCACTCTGAAACACGCACGGCATGCACACATATATTACATGATTTCATACTGAATACAGAGGTATATTCTAAAAATATTAAAGATTTTATGCCATGATGAATAGAGCTTAGAAGGATTCAATCCAAGCAAAAATGTTAATTAAAAAGAGCTAATTTTGATAGGACGGCTTGGATTACAAAAGCTCAGGATTTTTTCCCTAACCACTCAGTTCATGCAACAATGATAGAGTGACGAGTACACCATCTTGGTCATGTGTTTCTAGTGTGCATGAGCCAGCCAGGGGTGCATGAGGTGAGCTGTTTTTTTTGTTCTCCAGGAACACAGTTCAGGAAGTTTCCACCACCTTTTGGAAAAATTAGTATTAGTCAGGATAAGGTAAAATTTTATTTTTGGCCTGGTCTTGCTCATCTTTAAAATACTGACCTAATTACCATGATGTTTCAAAAAATTAATTTAAGTCTGAAAACACACCATGCACTTATAGTCTGACAACAGTACTTCCAGACCATGACGTTAATGGGCGATCTTTTTCAATTTATCTTCCTTCACTAACCCGCTAGGTGCGCTGACACGGACGGTCCAACCTTAAACTGACGGCGCATGAGCACTACTTGTTACTATGACGCCTATAGACAGTTAACTAGTATAACCTTCACCTCTATCGGCAACGGTCAAACTTGTGTGTGGACAGCATATCTTTTCGCCTAAACAATGATTTATCTATTGCCATGTCCGGAAATAAATGTTCCTTGATTTAATGATACAATCAGGGATGATCATGACTGATTATATTGTATAGTTAGCCACAAGATAGGCGTTTGAAGCGATGCGGTGAGATCTGCTGATCGTTCATTCCAGGTCGCTTTCTTGACGTTTTGCAATCGGTACTGAAAGTGTTGCTCTTGATGTATGAATATCACACTTTTAAAAATAAAGTAGATTTTGTATACGTTCCTATATCTATGTTGTAGTATCGCCGAGTAGGCAACATCATATGCATGCATTTCAGTTTGTACAGTGGTACATGAAATGTGAAGGCCTTATTCAAAGTTGCCCGTAGCTTCAATGTTGTGAATATTGACAGCAACACATGTAAGTATTTGTCAGATATATAACTGAGAGCAATGAGAAAAGTTTTCAAGAAATTGTAAGAGAAACAAGCCATGTAAAATTATGTCATCAACTCTATATCAAAATAAAATGTTCAAAATAAAAGAAATGGAAATCACTGAAATCTGTTTTGATATTTAAGGGTTAATTGATGCATGTTGTATAAAAGGATTTTATGTATGAATGGTGGCTGTTTGTTGCCAAATTCTACCATGATTATATTTCAATATGATCAATGAAAGATAAATTTTTAATTTGAAGTTTACACGATATACTGCTTTTCCATTGGACCGCAAAATTGACGTTCATAAGTGTATGAACGACACAATTTGACGTTCATACTTTTTTCACGAGACCGTGTTCTTGAAATGACATAAACACTGACGGACTACTTCCACATTCCTGGGGAAACCCCAGGGAATTCCCTAGCACGAAAACATGCATAAGCGTTCTTTCTGATCATTTAGAACCTTTATTCTTGGTCTCAAACTTACTCAAACTTACCTTTGTGTCCGTTTGACACATCATTATTCACCTTTCAATGATCGGCCTGATAATCAATGATGACTAACACATGTAACCGCCACAGGTTCATGAAAAACTTCGGAAATCTCTCCCGTCACGTTTATCGTGTCGGCCATTTCACGTTTTGTACTTTATGTAAATGTATTACAACACGCGGTCATTGTGACTGACTTATTGAGGTAGTTCTTTACAGACCTTGCTCATCTAATGAGGATATGATTTGAACACATGTGCTGCGTAAGATGTTTCTGAAGGGCAAGTTGTGCATCCGTACGCCCTTGTCACCTCTCTTTTTGAGGAACTATTTTACTACGCGATATAGCTGGTTGTTGTATGGCTGTCAGTGTAAACATGAAGTCACACGAACTAAATAAGCTCCGACGTTCATACAGTTTGGTCTGCACTCTATGAAGGTTCATACTCCAATGAACTCACAAAAAGTGAAGGTCAATTCTTAAATATATATTATTTTGGCCTTTTTGAAATTTTACAAAGTAGAAAAAAATAATTTGCAGACACAGAGGACCCTATATAATAGTTAAAATACATATTCAAGAGTATTTGTACCAACTACAATTTTTTTAAAATAAAACAATATATTCATACTAATTTTCAATCTCTATAATGTTGACCGTATTAACATTGCAGTGTCTACATCCAGTTTGCATTGACAATAATCATATGATTGTAACACAGATAAAGCTGATTCTTAACTTCATTAGGCCTTGCTTTTTATGTTTCCTTATTCTAAACTGATGTTTCAAATTCCAACATAAACAAATTATTAATGTTATTCTTTTTTCTCTTCACACCAACAGATATCTGCATTGCACAATGACTCTTATTATTTTATTTAATATCTTGGCATACTTGTGCATGTGTACTAGTATTTGATTACACGTGCATGACTTTTTAGCAGTCATCTGTTTCTGAACTGAATATTATGCCAATAAAGAAAAGTAACATAAAAAAAAGGACTCTGGTATTCTTTCATGTTTGGAGAATCAATCAATTTCAATGTGAAAACATTTTTTATTTCTTACATAAGTTACTTCATAAGATCAAAATAGATCCAATTTAAATTGAGGAGATTAAAATTATGCAGTCTAATTCATTTCAGTTAGTCTGTCTAAACTCCAGTCCTATTTTTCAGGCAATAATAAATGAATGAAAATTTAAGGAAAAATATACCTTGTCTGAGTGAATCAGTCAATATACATATGGGGCCTGATTATAGACACTGACTGTAACATATGTAAGTATAATCTGTTATATGCAAAAACAAATAACATAAATAAATCCATTTATCTACCTGGAATGATTGTGGGGATCAATTTGCATTTATTTAACCATCAGAAGATTTGATGATAAACTTTCTAAATTCATATTTGCTATATGATAATAATATCTACAAAATATACTTTATACAACAGGTGTCTTGAAGTACTGTTGAATGAAAATCAGGATACATAGCTACAGCAGGATAGTGTGTGGGTTTGTATGGGAAATAGTTTGTCAACATTAAAATAAATATAATGTTACTAAAACAAGAAGATAAAACTATGATTTACATCTATTTATGTATCATACTCATTTTGTGGGGTAGTCAGTATGATTTGTTGTTTGTTGGGACACATCTCTGTAATTTACAACTATTTTAAGAGCATGAGTATCAGAATTCTGTAAGAAATGATGGATCAATGAATTAAACAACACCTATGATGACTCAGAGCACTTAATGGTGGGACACATGTTATAAGGGGCAGAATAATATGGGTAAATCTCTTATTTCAAATCATGGTGACTAATATGTATATTGCAACTGAGTAACTGAGTGCTTAATAGATGCATGGTAGATTTTCATTTGGCATATTTCTAAAATATAATACAAATTCAAATATTCAGATGCAACGTTAATTTTGATATAAAAAGTAACATTTAAAATCAGTTGTTTTATTATTTTGAATGTTATTTCTGCTTAAAATATTTGTAAAGGCACGGATGTATACCTACTTTATAGATCATTGGTAAAGGTCTGGGCCTGTCAAAGATGTCTGTGTGCTGCAAATGTAGAATCTAGGCGTATCACTAATTTTATTAAATTGAAGTCCATGGTAGTATTTGTTGAGATTTGAATGCTTCGAATTGTGGTGGGAAATAACACAAAGGCTGATAAATAAAATGAGTCTGCATTTTTTCATCGATGCAATATGTTAACCTAGACTGACAGAATGCCTCACTGTTTTCTGACGTAGAAAATACCATGGCAATATACTGTTTTTCATGAAGTTTTTCCCTCTATCTGCCATAGTGACAATTTGTCTTGTAGTTGAAGACTCAACAAATGTTGATATTACAAACTAATAATCACTACAAAATATCTGCTAGTTAAAATAATTCAGTTATAAACGACTGTTTTTGAACGAAGGTGCAACAGGGTAACTCTTCAGCTTGGCTCCGTCTCTACATGTCACTAGTTGTCGCAGCACGCATTGATCTGGGAACAGGTTGGATCGTCGCTTATATCATTTCAAAAGGAGAGTTATTGCCCTTTGGAACAAAAAGATCGGCCATTAAGGCAATTTTGTACGAGGTAGCAATTTCCAAGTTTTAGAATTGTACAAGGTGCAACAGTAACTTGCAAGAATTAAACAATCGCCTCAAAGACGGCATTGACCATTGATAGGCATGCTTCCAATACTTCATGTTCTTATGTCTGTAAAAATACATGCAAATATTAAAATCATGCCTGTAAAGATAACCATTTAAGACAAGGTATATACCAAATTCAGACAAACCCTTACTGTTTCATAGGGCTGCTAATATAGCTCATATTTTAAACTAGGAGTTGACAGTTGACATAAAGTAAAATGGAATGGCCCTTACTTACATCTGGATACAGCAACTTTGATGTTCAATTGAAGTTTAATATTCCATGTTTTTTCTCTGTCACCAATGCACAGAGGTATTAAAGTTCTAAGGTGTTGCATGGGTATGTTGATCTGCAATCTCCCTTGTTACAATTCCTTGCTCTGATGTATTTATATGATTTTTAGTATGTTTCAATAAACATTCCTTATTATTAAAAGACTCTTTGCACTTCAGACAAGAGTATGTTTTTTCTGCTCGATGTCTGTGAAGATGTGTGCGCATATTTGCTCTTTGACTAAATGATTTACCACAAACAGTGCAGACATAAGGCTGCTCTCCAGTGTGGATCTTCTTGTGCTCTCCTAAGCTACCTTTGTCACTAAAACCCTTGCTGCACAAATCACACTGGTATGGTCTGACACCAAGATGTCTTCTGACATGAGTCTCCATATTACTCTTCTGAGCAAATGATCTGCCACAAATGATGCACTGATGTGGTTTTTCCCCAGAGTGCAGACGCATATGAACTTTCATGGTGATCTTCTGAACAAATGATTTCTTACAAACAGGACATTTATATGGCCTGACTAGGTTGTGAATCCTCATGTGCCTGCCAAGAGTTCTTTCATTGCTGTAGAATTCATGACACACTGGACACTGAATAGGCTTGTGCTTTTCTTCCCCTTTAACTGAAAAGAAAAGATGACATTACTGAAACATCGTATATGTACAATTCTCTGGAAAAATATATGTCCAATATATATTTTCAAATATACATATCACAAAAACAGCATTAGGTGAAAACATTTTCATTATTTGTTCTGCATATTTTATTAAAATATTTCCCATATTTGTTTTACATATTTTACACTAAAAAATGCTTAGTCAAGAGATACTCAGATACTTCTGGTTCATTGCCATTGGATACCTTCAGTGAAGTTAAGAAAAAATAATGTTCAGTATGTTTCAATATCCCAAATCATCAAAAGGCACCAGTTCACCACCAGACTGATGTGTATAGCAAGTTCCAACAAGAAACATTCAACAATTCTGGGGTTCTGTTCCGAATACGGACAGATGGACAGATGGCAGATATGCTGAAAGTTATATCACACCATATTTCAACCTGTTGAAGAAGTGTCACAACGAGATCTTCTTTAAAGAGGTATAATTTTTACTTAAGTTTGAAAGTTACCCTCCAGTATAAGGTGTATACTCACTGCAACTGCAAGTTTAGCGGTGGTGTACTATTCCCATACATTGGTCCTAACTCATTTCCCACATGTTCATTTTTTTAAATACCCTTTTGATAATGGTTTTAATTAGCTTAGTGTGTTCTACATTTGAAAGAAATTAAAACAAGATGGATCTGTATTCTTGTAGTGACTGCAATGAAACATTTGACAAGTTTTCTTCCATAAGTCATTCACATGTGAAAATAAATAATAAGATAACTGAAACAATGTTCAACAACCTACAATCACGTACCAAATCATTTTAAACAAAGATGACAAATGCCTCCCTTGCCTCAACAATTTGAAAGAACAAATAATCTGACTTACTTTAAGTCCAATTTGAGTCCAACTTTAAGAACATTTCTATCTAATCTGTCTGTCTGTATACAGAGTAGTTTTTTAGCTATCAAAACAATAGCATGGAATTGAGATTCAGAACTTTGCATTTCTGTGTCAGGTACACACCACTATGAACAGAGTCAAAATCAAACTTGTTGCCACGGAAACAGAAGAAATATATAGTCTAAAGATCCACAAATAGCGAAAGGCTTCTGTTGACAAACTGGTGTGCACAGTTTCAAAGAAGAGTGCCCATTAGTTTTAGAGATATGGTCCGGACAAACACACCACTATGAACATGTTGTCATGGAAATGAAAAGTTATAGATTCTAAACACCCCTAAGTAGCAAAAGGCACCGTTTGACAAGCTGGTCTTTGTGTGTGCATAGTGTCAGAAATCTTGCCAAGGCAAGGGAGTTAACTGGCTATAATAATCCAGTTTCCACACTTGCCGATCAAGGCCAGATTTTCTAGGTTCAATCGTAGCGCCACCAGTGGCTATTACGAGCTATGGCCCTCCTACTGACCAATCAGGTTCCACCTCTGATATCACCTGCATTTGTTTTAAACAAAATGGCTGCACCTAGTTAAGAAGGGCCGATCGATAATCAAGATTTATATTGTAATAATACAGGTCTTACTTCACAAAGTGCATCAAATAACGTAAGCACCTTGATTACAAACATGAAAAGATTTGGAAAATATCTGTTGATGCAAAGTTGATGGTACACATGCTTTTCAAATCCTGCAGTCGACCGAAATCTGCACAGCAGTTTACAAACCAGATGTTGATTTTGTTATGCGATTTTGATTGGATTATGCATAGACTCGTTAGTCCAGCCAAAATATAACTCCAAATCAGCAGCCTCGTTCGGCAAGGGTGGGAACTGGACTTTTAAAGTCAGTTAACTCCATTACCTCTGGAATATGCATGAAAGAATACCTATTAGTTTTTGAGATATGGTCTGGACCAACATACCATTATGAATAGAGTCAAAGTCAAACTTGTTGCTATGAAAACAGGAACAAAATAAGTTTTAAAAATTACTAAATGAGGAACTACTTCAGCCCCTGATTAATACATGTACCATTTTGTTTGCCACACTCAGCACTATCCAAACTATATGACAGCGGTCTGTAAATAATCGATTCTGGACCAGACAATCCAGTGATTGACATCATGAGCATCAATCTACGCAATTGGGATAGGTTAACTTGCATCAACCAAGACTAACGATCTCGTTAGTCACCTCGTACGACAAGCATAGTCGCCTTTTACAGCAAGCATGGGTTGCTTGAAGACTTACTCTATCCTATGAACACACAATGCCATTTAGAAAGTGGCATAACACTTTCTGAGTAAAGTACAGATTCTCATACTTTTTTGGATTGAGTCCCGTCCGGGATTCGAATCCACACTGCCAGAGTGTGGCACACAAAGTCAGTGATCTAACCCACTCAGCCACTGAGGCATCCACAAAAAAGAAAGTCAAAGTCAAAGAAAGCTTTTTGCCATGGGAGCTGTGCCAATTTACATATGTTAGATGTTAGATCGCTAACTTTGTCGACTGGCGATAGGTGCTGCACTCTGGCAGTGAGGGTTTGAATCCAAAAAAGTACGAGAATCTATATTTTACTCAGAAAGTGTTATCCCAAATATAACATTTGTTACTCTACCCTAGATCTTCATGGATCAAGGTACCAAGTTTGGATGAAAAATGGTGAAAAGGTTTTTAGTTGTGCTCAAGAAACAAAACCTACCTCTGTTTAAGCAAAGCCTAACTTGTTTTCATGGTAACAGGCAAAAATCAAATTTTAAAAAAATCCTAAAGAGCAAAAGGCACCACTTCAGCCCTTGGTTAATAATGTACCACGGTTTGGATGAAAGTCTTTAACCGTTTTGAAGTTGTGCTCCGGAAACGACACCTACCCCACCAACCCCTTTGAGATTAAGTCCCAATTGTTTCCATGGAAATCAAGAAAAAACAAAATACAAAAATTTCAAAATTTTGTTTAAAGATAATGAACGTTTTTTTAGCTGTGCTCCAGAAATTATTATGGACAGACAGATGAGGCATTGACTATATCCCCCAACATCATAGGCCGAGGGGGGGGGGGGGGGGTTATTAACAGCGAGTAAAACATAAATGTTTCTGAAACCGGTGCTGAAATGATTCTGCTAGTTCAGTCAATACAATTCAGTCCCCATTCAAAATTCATAAACATTGCAATATATGGAACATATAAGTTAGGTCCCACTACTACTACATCTATGCCAACTGTTGATACATTTTAAAACAAGAGTCATCAGGAGATTACATATTCCCCCGAAATGGAGTTTGGCTACTTATACCCTACTTTTGGTTCATTGCTATTGGATACTTTCAGTTCAGTGAAGAAGAAGATGGTAGCTGTTCAATATTTTTCAACATCCCAAATCATCAAAAGGCACCAGTTCACCACTAGACTGATCTGTATAGCACGCTTCATCCAAAATTAATTTTTAGTATGTCAAACTTGTAGTCATGAAGACATTAACAAATATCAAAAATACAAATCAAAAATCATCAAAGGAAAAAGTTCACCACATGAACCTCATCTGAAGATATACTCACACGCAAAAGAAACGCAAGTCAAGTATGCAGTATACATGTTATTTATTTTCAACAATAAGACAAGAAATACTAATAGGGCAAGATTGACAAAAATTTGACTGAAGACAGTTTAATGGATTAAAAGGCAGATGACATAATTGTTTTTTTCAAATGTTAAGGGCTTACACAGTTTCGGGTCAATACAGAAAATGTCAGTCAATACCTGGTGTGACCACCATAAGCATTGATCACTGCCACACATCTGTACATTGAGTGGATCAGACGATTTGTGATGGCCCTAGGGACCCTCCTGCACACATCCAGAGCAGCTGTGCGTAGTTCAGCGGCAGTTGTAGGGACTGGGTGCATTTGAACCTCATCCCACAAGTGTTCGATGGGGTTCAAGATCATGGTTGAGGGCTGGCCACGGTAGAACACGGATGTTGTGTTGTTGCAGAAAGGCCATGGTAGCTCTGGCAACATGTGGACGAGCGTTGTCCTGCTGGAAAATGTGTTGTTGATGTTGTGCAAAAAATGGAACAACGTGGGGTCTGATCACTTGGTCGACATACTGCTGAGCAGTGATGCCGTGTCCCCGACCTTGACCAACATTCAGAAAGCACATCGCTCCAAGTCTCGCATTAAGTCCAATCCCTGCCCATATCATGACGCTAGGCCCCCCCCTGGATCCCTTTCCACAACGTTTCTGTTAGCGAAACGATCACCTCGCCGCCGCCAAATTCTGACTCTTCTGTCTGCATGGGAGACACAAAAGCAACTTTCATCAGAGAAGATGACACGCCTCCACTCACGATTACACCAATTGCGATGACCCTGTGCCCACTGAAGTCGTGCTTGTCGATGCTGTGGTTGGAGAACAGGACGACGGCTGGTCGGCGACATCTGAGGTTGTTGGAACAGAGACGTCGGATCACAGTGTCCCGGCTAATGTGTCGATTATGTGTTCCTATGATCTGTCGAGCACTTTCACTTGCAGTTAGGAACGGATGTCGCTGGTGTTGACGGGTAATCTGCCGATCTTGTTGAGGTGTGGTGACCCTAGGACGACCGCTCCGAGGAAGGTCATCTGTGGTCTGTGTAGCATTGTATCGATGCAGGAGACGGTAAATTGTGGTTATGTTATCGTTGAAATGACAGGCAACATCTTGGACAAACTCTCCAGCTTCCAAACATCCAATAGCCTGGTTTCTCTGAATTAGAGTTAGGCATGGCATTGTTGACCAAGAATCGGCCAGTTTTATACCCACTACAGTTCGTGACAGCTCGTGCATTTTTAATTTCGCGAGAAATGAGTGCATGATACCCACATATTCATTGAATGGTGCGTTTTGGCGATTCGTTTTTTATGTTGCGTTTTCCTCGGGGCTTCCAAAATGCAACCAAAAATACTGATAACACCATCAGGCTTCACTACATGCTAAATCCCGTATCAATTTATGGTTCCGTGTTTGTTACCTATTTGCTTAAAAACCACTTGCGCTTCTTTTGCATGTGAGTATATATTGATAACTGGTGTACATATTGGATTATGCACATTAGACATATATCCGAAACTGGGATTGCTTGGGACTTTAAGTATGTTGTTTTCGGGACCTTATAGAAATGCATTGTGGTGAAATAAATTCTGTTGCAATTTGTTCCAAGTGAAACCTTATTTTGCCTGGACTAATAAGCATGCTGAGTATAATGGTGGTCAGGGATATCAGAAATAACAGTCTTAATTAGAGAAAATTGGTAGTAAGTGCTTAATTCCAAGTTTCTAATCGTCTCATCATCTCCAAGTTCTTCTCTTAGCTTTTTACTGGTGTAAAAGTCAATACTTTATAAAAAAAGTGGCAGTTGTGTCACAGGAACTGTACTGTACATAACCCATCACACCCATCCAAGCTTGATTCACTCACCAGCTTAAATTGCATGGTCATCAATCACCCAGGCCCCTATGAATATATATGAACTTAGAAATGGAAATAGCGGACTTATGTCTAGAAATTACAATGGTTGAGAGTCGGCCCAACTGTCAAGAGAACCAGGCCAGTTCTCGAATGGGTCAGCCCAACCCAACTGAAGGGAATCCCTCTGGTCACCAGAAAAACTGTTAAAAAAAACAGCAAACATGACTTAAAGTCAAGCTGCACCTAATGTCACAAAACAAATAGGAAAAAGTTGTCTTTAGCGCAGACTTCTCCCAACATCTTAATAGGATCCTAACAGATATTACCCAGGAGATGAATTAGGACAAAAAATATCATTAGAATAAATAAGTGTGGAAGAGGCTACGTTGTTGTTGGGAACAACCTTTCGTAAAAAAGACACAGCGAGACAAAAACACCCAAGATGAAGCCCTGGCTCAGAAAAATCCCATCAAATACTCATCAAACTCAGATTTGGTTCTCCCTTGTCTCTAGGCTACTACTGTGTCCATAGCCACAAGAATACAAGATAGGGTCCAAAGATGGGACTTGTTGGGATGACCCTGTAATTCTGTGATCATGCGCATGGTCTTTAGTAATCTGGAGGACATAAAATTATGGGGCTGATGTAATAACATCTAAAACTGATGCTGAGGTCTGTGTTCTTTAATTCCCTTGTTTAATAATGTCCATAGTGTCAAGTCTGCAACCACTAACATGGTCCCTTCCAGATAAATCATGGCCTTCTGCCTGGGATAAATTCAGTTCTACAGGTCTTAATCCGATGTACGTTGTTTCCGAAACAGAGAGACGGCGATCACCTCTTCCTCTCGTCCTTGCTTGTCCGCTATGTTTCTGCTCAAAATCTCTAGAGTTATCCGTTGCTTTGGTGTTGAGAGGGCGTGTATGTCTTTCTTCCACCTGTCTGCCTGAAAGGATTCCTTCCCCGATGGTATAAACGTCCTCTTGCCAAAATCCTTGAAGGCATGATCCCTGGCCGAATATCAAGACCTCTTGGTCTGAAATGCTGAACTGTTACCGTTAACTGCCATGTTGATGGTGGAATGCAGAAATCTTTCTGTGGTGTCTTGGTGAACTTCATCAAGGACCTTGTGCGAGAAGAGTTGCGCCATGGTATGTTGAAAGAGCGCAAAACTCCTGGAGTGTTTTGACACAGCTCTATTCTTGCGATGACAAAAAATTCTCCAGCATTTTCACTAAGCTGTCTGACAGGATATGGATGAAGGCTAGTGACTGGCAAGTCCCCTGAGATACCCTCATAACACTTTTGAACTGGTGCCATGGCATGATGTACTCCAGCCACAAACCAGTTGATACAAGTTGTAATCTACATGGCATGTCTTCTGAGAGTGTCAAGCTCCCTGATTATGTCCATAGGTAAAGAAATCATTGTGATGGGAGAAATCACTAATTTTAAGTAATCTTCTTGAATATGTCATGTTCTGACTAAAGGGGGTAGTTTAGCCAGGTAAAACAAGAGACGACTAGTACAATATACACAGATTTATTTACATGAACATCATATATATAAGTAGCTAACAAATATATACAACAATGGTGAGCATACATAGACTTCCCAGGACGAGGAATTAAGGACAAAATCGACATCACTGTCCCGAAATGCCTTATGCACAACATGTAAACAATAAACAACAACACAAACACAGCGATGAGTGGACCTTCCAGCTCAGGCATACATGAGGTGAGTGGAGCTCCAGCTCACCTCAGGACGTTTCCTACGAGCGGCACATCCTGCTCGACGTCGTCCCTACACCAGCACTCGGAATACCAAGGTTGACTAACACCGTAGTAACAGTGTAATGGTAGCACATATATAGTAATGAACAACAATGGAAAGACAATGACGTTGATCTGGACATGGGACTTCTGGGGGTGATGAACCGACACAGCTCAGGGGATGAACAATTAAGGCAATAAATGTCATACTATAAATAACAGTAATTAACGGGAAGTGATATAGTAGCCCAGGTTGGCTGTCAGTCAATATACAATGAAATGTTGGTGAGGATTAACAACGGGGATTAGCGCCTAAAACGTAATGACAATTAAGTTATGGAGACATGGCTACAGGGTAATTAGCCTTTGGAGTCAAATTTACTTCAGACAATGGTTGTCGTAAATCAGTTGCTATGACAAATACACGGGTAGGGGTAGAAGCACTGTTTCATTTGAGGTAGAGGTAATCTATCCTCACTCTTTAATTTCTTCAAGTTCTCACTGGCTTGAATTATCACTTGATTCACATTTTGGTGAACTTTAGTAGCTGAGATAGAGCACAGAGAAGACAGAGCACTTCTTAACAATACCACCCAGGAGGTTCCAATGGTATTCTTAAGGTCAGGCCTCTATTCCTCCTCTTAGTTTGTACGGAGTCTGTGCAGTGACTGTGAGGAATGAGATGCTGCATTCATGGTCCCAATGAGCTTGGGTGGTAGATATTCAGAAATCGGAATGATTCGGCTGCTGACACAATATCTTGTGTCCAATGGTCTATCATGACCCCACTGCAGAGCCCGTCCGGCATTCTTGAAGGTGAACTCTTCAGTGCTTCTGTAGAAAGTGACACAGACCCCCAAATCAATCCGTCTCCCTTTTGACCTCTTGCCAAGGGGGATGATTCTGGCCCAGCTTACAATTTCACGGTGTGACAACGTTGTGGTAATGTAAGGGATATTCCGTCCATATAACGTTTTTCCCATTTGTTGTCAGAACATCATGGGCTAACATTGTGTAACGTCATATCCACGTCGTCACAACGTTGTGATTTTGTATTTTTACGTAGTGGCAATGTTATTATATTACGTCCCTACGTTATTCTGTGGACTAACATGGACGTTGTCACAACGCCGTGAAATAACTTTGTGTAAGAGGGATGAAATATGTAGTGACAACGTTATCTCATGACTGTCCCCCGCAAAAAATGTCGTAAAAACATCCCAAAATCATTTCGCATCAATGTTTTAGAATATGCTTTAGTCACGTGAATGTGTATGATTCGAGATACCCTTTACAATACTTTTTAAACCAGGGCGTCAAATAGCCCTGTTAACAGTTAGGTCATGTTTTGGTGACAATTTCCGAAACGAAAAAACACCACGGAGCTGTTAAATAGATACATATGGCAATAACAAATAGTCAGAAACCATTACCCTTTAGGCTTGTACTGCAGGAAACAAAAGGGTTGACCATTTAATATTCTGGGGAGGTCAGGGCCTGGAATTCTTTGAAAAAATATACTGTTGACGAAAATTCTTGACAAAAATAATTATGCTTCAGACTGGTGAAAAAAAAGAATTTGCCTGCCAAAAATTGATATAGATCCAGTTGCAAGGTGCTTAACTTCAGGCTAATAGTGATAAATAAAAATAACTGACCGAACAATTATCAAATCTCCATAGAAAATGTCCAGGTCCCCTTTAATATTAAATGGTCGATCCCGAATCAAATCTATACAGTATATCTTCATCTTACAGTCATGAGATGTCAACATTCAACAAAGAACTTCAAGACACATTTGTGTTGACATTTTTATATTTTTAGATAATTGAAAATTTATACACTTTTTGAAATTATTGATTGCCAGAATCTTCTTTCTTTGGTGTTCACTTCCATTTCCCTGAAATACAAACAACTTCATAAATCTCAAGCAGGTATTTGAAATATTCTGAACCGCAAAAGAAACGTCACCATGGATAGATATATGAGAAACCTTATTTGTCCAAACACTGTAAACATACTTTGAGACATATGAAAAAGATAAAACTTGGCAAAAAAGATCATCAAGGTTGAAATTAAAGTGTCAAATGTTCTTCCAGTGAAACACAACACTAGTCTCTGAGAAAATGGCATTTCAAGTCAGTATCTCATGTGTCCGCTATGTGCATTGATGACTGCCGTGCAACGTTGATACATGGAATGGATGAGGTGGTTGATGAAGGCCATAGGCACTTGAGCCCACACTCTGAGGAATGCCTGACGCAGTTCAGCTACAGTTGTCGGCCTTGGTCGGACGTCATTCAGCCGTCTTTGAATCTCGTCCCACAGGTGCACGATGGGATTTAAATCAGGACTGAGGGCAGGCCACTGCATGGTTCTGATGCCATTCTGCTGGAGGAAGTCTCTTGTTGCTCTCGCAGTGTGGGCACAGGTGTTATCATGCTGAACCTCGTGGTTGCGGCCAAATGAGGTATGGCGTGTGGTATCAAGACTTGATCAATGTACCGAGCTGCTGTGACACCATTGCCTCTCCCTGGACTAATATTCTGGAAGACCACAGGGCCGACCCTCTGTGCAAGACCTATTCCACCCCACACCATAATGCTCGGACCACCCTACAAGTCTCTTTCAACAACACAAGCATCCAAATAACGTTCCTCACGAGGTCGCCAGACTTTCTCTCTGCCATCCGTTGTTGTGATAAGAGGACTCTTCTCCACTGCTGGTGGCACCAATGCTGGTGCTGTGTTGCCCACTGAAGAGAGTCCCGGTGATGACGTGGTGTCAGAATGGGACCTCGGTATGGGCTTTGACAGTGGAGGTGTTTGCTCATCAATCGTCGATGCACGGTGCCCGCACTTATGTGTCGGTGGTGTGCCCCCATGGTCTGTCGAGCAGTTTCCGCAGCAGTATCAAAGTCGGGTAGTGACCCTTGATCTTCCACTACATGGTTGGTCATGTGTAGTGTTGGTGGTCAGGTGCAGTTGCTGGAGCCTGTATATGGTCCTTACGTGGACTTGAAATGCATTGGCTACTTGCCGGGCGGTTTGTCCAGCTTGCAATCGTCCAAGGGCTTGGTGTCGCTGATTTCTTGTCAATCTTGGCATGTTGTAGAAATTCAATAACGAATGAATGTTATCCGAACTGGGTGGATTTTCATAGGGCAAGAAATGGGGGAACACATGTGCATTTCAATTTGCACGAAACTCACGTGCATCGGTTTACCATGGCCATTGCCGTGATGCGTTTGGGCAATCGGTTTTATTGTCATCTGCTTTGTTTTTATATCATCAAATTTCATTTTTCCGAAGAAGTTAATGTTAAATTTTAGAAACTCTGACAAAAATTACCCAGATATTTAAATGACAACTTTACATGCAATGTTACTTGGGTGATGTTTCTTTTGTGGTTCAGTATATTATATGACAAGAAACATTCAATTGGAGATAAAGCTTTATCAATATTCCAACAGTAATGTATAATGCAAGTGTTTGATGGAAACATATTTTAACATTCATTCAGAGACATCAAGAATCATGTTGAAGACAGAATGAGGTACAAGCATAGATTTATACAAAAACACTCTTAGCATTCATTTAAAGCAACAAAACCACCAACATGTATATAGACAATAGAATGTAACAACTGTACTTACGTTAACATAATCACATCTCAGGGTTTCTTTGGTGGAATCCCTAATGATCCAACATTCCATGACTTTATCTGGAATGGTCGTGTCCCTTTTTCCTCCTTGCTGCAGTGAAAACATATAACAAAGTCAAAACTAGAACTATATTCAATAAGTATCTATTTATAGTCTTTCAAATCTTATTAAAATCAGATTATAGTTCTTGCTATCGCTAAACAAAGATCTGAGGACATCCCATTACGGGTGAACAAACTTTCATCCAACCAATCAAAGTGTTAATTACCAGAAAGTGACAGTCGGAATGTGTTCTCTAATCATGCAACCTCGAAACCGTTAACGTACGGTACCACTGATTCCGTCAAAATCATCGTCTATCTCTCACTTCCATGGGATAAACATTTGAACGGAAGAGGCATTGCACAGTACGTGGGAAGCACTGCCATACAATCTCAACCATATATTAGACATTCTGGAATGTTTGCTTGTTCAGTTTTCAAAACTTTAATAGAGAACTGTGTCAACATATTTTTCAAGCGTAGTCTGAAATGGAAGTCGCCAGGAAGAAACGAGTGTCGTAAAGCTCAAGAAAGCTGCTTTCTAATTGGCTGATGTCGACTTCTTGTCAGTAATTTCAGTGGTCGGTCAAAGTTCGCGAAAGGTCTTTCTGACGTGACCCATAATCGGATGTCCTCAGATCTTTGTTTAGCGGCAGCGAGAACTTAGATCTGATCTTAATGAGAATGTAGTCTATCAAAAATCATAACATTTATTGCATAATTGTCTAAAATTGTCTAATTATTGTGGACCTATTCTAAATTAGAATACAAACGGGAATAGATATATTAAACAGGCATTGTAACTAATTACGAATCACATTTTCATTGCAGCGCTGTTTATAGCTACAGTACAATTTCGTAGCGAGCACTGTTACTAACTCGTTCAGTTTTCTATCACCATTTTATTCTCACTCCTTGTCAAAAAGTTTCAAAGAACCAAGTATCATATGAAATTTATTTGTTACTTCATTTATTGAACATAATACAGTTCAATATCGTTGAATATAATTTTGTAGGATGGTAGCCAACATGGTGCACATTGGCTACACATATCTCACCTTAATAATCAACAACTCACTGACAATATATTGTAATATTTAACTTTTGACTATCAACTAGCTTATCACCACCACCGAGGACCATACTGCAAACACCCTGTTATAGCGCGAGACGAGCGACTTGCTTTACTTTTGCTCGTTTTCATTAGAAGGGAGTTGGACATATTTATTGGAAAATGAAATATAAAAATACACATTGTAAGCGCCTTGCTACAACAAAACTTAAGACAACACAAGCAATCAGATGATTCACATTTAAGCAAGTTCAGTCAGAGCTAATTAAGCATATTCGAAAACAACAAATATGTTCCTGTCTCTTCCCGAAAATACAATTTAATAACATCATTGAGCACTTTAGACTAGGGCGATAACTAGCAGCCTACAGTTAGTCGATCTGAAAATACTTCCAATGTTTTGATTCCCTAATTTCGCTGAATAACAGAAATCAACCTTTCCCATGGACTGAAATGAGCCACATTGTTTCACAAAAATCAAAGTCAGTAGATTAGTACATGTACAGTAAACTTGGCCTACCTTTAGAATACAGTATCACAAACTTTTCAAACACGTGACAATACCCTATGACATAATTTGTGGTATTTTGTTGCCAGTCATACCGGCGAAATAATGCCCTGTGACGTCAGGGGTCATCGAGTGTGCATAAGCTCCTCTCAGTGATCTATCATCACTACACGCAATGTTATTGAAGACGCCCAGCGGCACAAGAATGCAGTTTATTGGGGATATTATATTGGTGCTGAACACATCGAAATGTAGCCAGTGTTAGGATAGGCTACCCCAAACTCTATCCTTAGCCCTTGGATCCCCTTTACGATCAATCACCCCTTTACAATCATTAGGGTTAGGTACCCGTTTAGTGGCTATTGGATTACCCAAACTCTATCCTTAGCCCTTAGATCCCCTTTACGATCAATCATCCCTTCACGGTCATTAGGGTTAGGTACCCATTTCGTGGCTATTATAGATTCTATAGCGGCTCCTAATATTCTTCACACAAAAACGTAGAGTAAAAAGAACAAAATGGTTTTGTGTCAAATATTTTGGCTACTTGAAACTGTCCTGGGACATTCACACAAGCCACTTTCACCAGCTACATTTTTTCAGTCTGATTCAAAAGCGAACTCACCGTTGTGTCGTCACTAGCCCTGCTCATGCCTCCTCATTCCTTACTATTATCCACATCATCGTTACAGTGTTCCCTAGCACACTTTTCTGTCACAAAATCCACCTGACGAATTACTAAGTACCATGTCATTCATGCATACTCACGAGTCTGACGCCTGACGCTGTTTTCAGTTCGCGCCATATCGGCTCATTCCTCACCACTCGGTATCTTGTAGATTACGAAATGGGACGAGTGTGCCAAATGGCATCGGGATAATTCGTAAGTGTCCGTAGACTAAAGTCATGAGTCACCATGCCTACCCGTAACCTTCGCAAGTGTCCGTCACCTATTCGACCCTTTTCGTTCAGTTTCGTTAAATTTGCACTTTGTTTCACAGTGTGGATGTAGCTCAGTCGGTTAGCTGTCGGGCTAATAATCCGAAGGTCGCGAGTTCGCGTCCGACGGATTCTCACAAAAACTTGTTGCTTGTCTTTGAGACATGTGACCTACGGCAGAGATCGTCATCACGAGAAGTTGTGGTACTAAGGTCTAAAGGTGCTCCGTAAACTTATAATGTAAATAGTAATGATTTTAGAAATAACATGGAAGAAAAGGCGACAACTGTCAGTGGTCAGTAGACAATGCATACATTAGCCTATATATAGGCCTATAAAGCCTATGATCGAAACTTGAATGTAATATGACGGCTACAAAACGCCGCCAGATTGAATTCTGGTCAAACATATACTGCTTGCCCTTGATATTTACCCTTTGCATCCATAAAATAATAATATGGCAAAAATAGCCTTGAGCCTCCTTCACCTCTATATATACATCATGGTCTGTGTATCTAATATAATATCAACACTGACACTCAGTGAAAATCACCAGCAAACTGCATTCTAAACCCAACCCCTTCTGTATAATAAGATACATTTAAATCATTTCACTATCTGCATGTACAGAAACATAACAACTAGCTGAGACTGCTTTTGAAAAATTAACTTACCTCATCCGAATTCACAGATGAACTATCCAGTTCCAGTTGACGCACAATGACTTAGTCGAAGAATGTCCAGAGTGAGCTTGATGTGATGTCACTTCACGAGGCAACAAGGCTTTACTTTTCAGCAGTCGCTCTCACAAAAAATGAGCGCCAATTGTTTGCCTGTAATGTTGCAGTGCCATAGCCAGCCGGCGGGGGGGGGGGGGGGGGGAGGTGGGGGGGGGGAGAGAGAGAGAGAGACAGGGAGATGCCCCCCCTAGATTTTTTTTATTGGAAACAGTTTTATTTGAATCAAGTTTGGGACAACAAGTGATACTTGTACAAATATTTGCCCCTCCTGTCAAAAAAATAACTACGGCCTTGTATTGCTTGTGACAACATTTAGTATACAGATTACTTCATGAATAGATCTATATGCAGTGTTAGAAATTGGCACTAGTCCTGTAAGTCCTGGCGAAACTGCCCAGTGGTAAAGGTTTCATATGGACTAGTAGAAATTTGCCCTTTTTAAGGGTTTTGCTATATGTTATCGTTATGAGGACTAGTGGATGAAAACTGTTAGTTTCTAACGCTGATATGTTTAAAAAAAATAAAACTAAGAGATGGTAGATCTGCTACACATTATTTACAAAAATATTTTGTGATGTCCAAAGTACAATGTTATCACAACGTTAATTTGCAACGTTGTTGTTACGCTGTGGAATAACTTTACGATATAATGTAATACTAACGTCACAGAGAGACGCAATTACGTTCTGGAGATTTTAGTATTAAGAGATGAAAATTCAAATGCGGAATATATAGGAAGGTAATGCATCACTGTAATGCATCACTGCTTTGATATTCTGACAAATTCAGGTTGATTTTGATGAAGCAGATGTATTTCTATATGATTATCAAGAAGCAAACTCTATAACTGTTTTTATTATGAAAAAAAATAAGTGGAAATATACACTGTATTTTTTGTGGTTCTGATTTCATCATTTCTTATAATTTGGGATAAACCCCAAAAGTATCTGGTTTCAGTAGGTTTGCAAGAGACAACTGGCCATGGTACATTTTCATGATTTTTATAGAATATTCCTCTACATTATTACCAATATACCTTCAGGACATCTTGCATGAAAATCAGTCAATGTCCTAGAAAAGGAACTGTGAAACGCTGGGTATCAATATTGATAGCTGTGTTGTAACATCTTGGTTACACATTTACAAAAATATAGAAGAATGTCTTGTCATGAGCCATAGCAAGTTATCACTACAGATACAGTGAGTGAGTATAGATCTACGCCAATTCAAGCAATATTCAAGCAATATCACAGCAGGGACACCAGTAATCGGCTTCACACATTGTATCCATGTGGGGAATCCAACCTGTGTCTTCCGTGTGACGAGCGAACGCTTTAACCAAAACAAGGCTACTCCACCTGACCCCCATGTTTACAGATTAACAATGGCTTAAGTAGTATAGGTAATGGGGGTTCTGGACCACTTCCACTGGAGCCAGATTTATATACTTATACCACCACTACAGGGGGAATTTTTTATGTGTAAACGCTTATGCGATTTAACGATAGTCATAAGATTAAACTAAATTGTAATGAAAATATTCTCGATTATTTTTATTCATACGTATACCATTATTTTTAACAAAGTGATACTCAACATTTTTACTAAGTTCTTCGTTCATTTTACGAGGAGACCAGACTATATACTCTTCTTGGTAATTGGAAAGAAACAATTGATGACAGTATTTGGTTGGTTTGACATCCCTGATATAATATATACCTTGTGGTAATTCTCTCCATTTGATAATTTTGTCCCTGAGCAAAAATGTTTCGATAGCTTTTTCGAGTTCTTCCTTTGTTGGTTTGTAATCCTCCATTATTATATACTTACGTAAGCATTCTTCTCAATGAATGTATGATTTTATGCGGTGTGTTCTAATGATAGTAAGCAATCTATTTTTAATCTCCAACCAGTTCTTTGGTTTGGGCACGGAATAATTGACGGGCTTGTTGTCTCCCCTGTTC